CAAGATTGCCAACCAGGTGCTCAGCCAACAAGCCCCGGCTGAAACGGAGCCACTATGTCTTACTAATAAAAACACATGGCTAAAGGCCAAGCAGATGTAACTACACACTCATATTTCCGCTATCGGTTATTAATTATGCGAACAAAGCTTAGGTAACCTGCAGTGGTAGAAATGTGAGATTTTGTTCAAGCGGGGCTTTGGAAAACAGTACAATGTGTATCAAGATGAGCATGTATTTATGACCTCACAAAGCTACCACCTCATTTGCATGCTGTCATGATAGGATCTTCAATTTGAATGCTAATGCCAGTTTGGTCATATATCATCAGGCTGTTTATTTATGGCCAAATACCGTGAGAGAGAACGTAAAGCAACACAAATGACCTCACAGCCTCTTAAACCTCAGACAACACATAGTACTTACTGTGTTAAAAAGTTGCATGCATTTTGTTCATATGTATTTTATTTTTTTATAATGTATTATTAATTGTATTTTTCGATGTAAAGATACATATTGGAATTTAATATGCAGACAAGTCATTCAAAGACTGATTTCCTTGAAAAGGAAACATTGTGTGGCACTAATATTGCTCTTTTTGTTGAGCATCTCCACCAGCAGGATTAGGATGTTTGTTTGTCCAACTAATGGAAAAGCATTAAGAAACCTGAAACTTTGAAAACAATGGGTCTCATTCACATATTTATACACACAGAACAACTTTCCACATTTTCTTTTTTGTGTGTTTGTGTGTGTGTGTGTGTGTGTGTGTGTGCCAAATTCACAACCTGTGCATGACTCACATTACAGAGCATTCATTGTAGCTGTAGCTACATAATCATATTCATGCATTTCAAACTATAACACACCTCTTCTTACTCTTTTACTGTATGTAAAGAAATGCATACAGTATAAAGATGATTTATCTCTAGATAAAACTTTTTTCTTATTCTTAACACATTTATAAGACTATCCAGAGTATGTGCTTTTTGCTTATGTGTGGTTTCAGTTATTCCTACATTTTTTCGTAAATTTTGAAAATAATTTAGCATGAAAGTTATTGATGAATCATGATTTTTTTTTTCATGAAAATGTTCATACACAGAATTCATGCGCAATTTATGGAAATGTACGGTTAGTAAATGAGATCAAATTATTTTTTTGTAAAATTTCATTTGGTGACACTACTGGTTGAGAAATTACAAATTTTAATTAACATTTTTTTTTTGCTTGCTTGCTTTTTTTTGCATTGGTTGCTTGCTTTTTGTTTTTTATTACATTTATAAAGATACAGTAAACTGAATCTATAATTGCATGTTGTGCATGCAACTTAACTAGATTTACTGTAATAGAAAATAAAAATAATTTAATCAAAATACAATACAAAATTGCAATAATTTCACTATTGCATGATTTGCATCCACCACGTTTTTTCAGCGACACACCGCCAACTCGGAAACTCAGGGATAAAAGAAAATCCTGAGTTTCCCAATAGTAATTACCAGTGGCGGCTCTTCGGGGGAGGCAGGGGAGGCACAGCTTCCCCATCATTTTGAGGTGAAAATGGGAGGAGGACGATTTAATGTTAATAAAATTCCCAATTCATTTCAGTTCACGTCTCAGAATGTGTATTTTTTGTTTGTAATTTCACAGTTGTAATACCATAACGTGAAAGCGCCGCTTTTCTATCGTGAATGCGCCAAATCTGCTGATGTAATTGCAACTGCTAATGATAGAGAAGGGTAGGGGGAAGCTGAGCTCTCGTGCCTCCGTTGGTAAAAAAATTTGCCAATCAGCATCGAGTGTTCACTTTCAGTGCTGAGGAGTGTTGAGAAAAGAAACCTCGCAAGGGAGGCTAGCCTCCCTTGCCGCTGCGCTGATAATGTACCAACTTATGATGAGTAGCGATATTGAATATTTGATTGCCAACAGATTTACCAAGCTGTCATTCAAACAGTGTATATACAAATTTAGGGAAAGCAGCCTAAGCTGGATATAGGGTACAGCAGTCGGCTTAATTAAATGGCGCAACAGGCAGCTCTCTTTTAACACAGACTTTTAAGAAGGGATGGATGTTTGCTTCAAGTGATAGGCCAGGTAAGTGAAATTATATTATCTTGCTGTATGTCGTTTTCTTTACGTTTTCTGACTAAAAGCAACCAAAAAGCCATTTTAAAGTGGTTAAGCAAATAATAATAATAATAATAATCGGCAGGGATCCCAGACCAATACAATTAGTGTGCCTCCTCTATTTTAAAACCCACGAGCCGCCACTGGTAATTACAACTTTTTTGTGTAGTTTATGTGGGTTCAGCACTTAAATATGGCCTTTTTGAAATGATTTAAATGCACCAAAAGCAGCAGAGTTCAAGTATTAATATCAAAACGGCTTTAATATCCTTATAGCTAATTATCCAAGGTCTTTTATTTTATTCTTAAGAACTAAATTCTACTTTATTTCATTGACATTTTAAAAGGTACAGCATGTAAGTGACCCAAACAACCAAATGACTCTTTAGCTATGATTTTAAAAAATATTTATGAAAGCAACACAGAATATCTAAAACTTGCTAAACTTTAAAAGTAACTTTAAATCTACTGAATTCATCCCCTTAAACACTGTTTCTAGATGAACTAGCAACAATCACTAGCAAATAAGCCTGCGCTACTGACGCTGTACATGTTTACTTTGTGAGGTACCGGTACCCCCTGAAGGGTGGTCTGTAACTGCTAGCGATGAACAAATAAACTCCGGGATTAGTGCATGTTTCTCTTCTCACTGATAGCATCTCTGTCTCCTGATTGAGGAAGAGCAGATAAAAGGAGAACAGCGCAGCATCAGGACTCATTCAGATGGCGCTGACGCAAAAGGCAGCTCCACACAAGCCATTGCATTTGAATACAGTAGCGTGTCAGTGAACGCTAATGTCTTATTAATGCATCGTTTTGACCTATAAAGCATACAGCAGATGATAGCATCAGTGTTACCTTCGTCATCAACTCACTGTGGCCAAAAGGCACGAAGATGTGCTGACAGCTTTCAATCAAGACAGACAGAGTCACTCCAACTTCCCCGTCGCAAATATCGTGACTGGGTGCAGTGTATTACCTGAGAAACACACATGCAGACACAAGAAAATCAAACTATCAGCATCAAGTCTGGTGCATATTGTTGCTTTTTCTATTCATTATATAATCACTTAAACATGAGGAGGCCATTTGAGTGACTTGTAAAGCTGAAGTCAGTGCTAACACAAAAAGATGCATTCACTGACAGTGATTTGAAGCAGAAAATGGTCTGGAAGTCAATTTTAATGAGAGTCAGCAATTTGAGTGGGCGACACCGCTTATGAAAATGAGCAGGTGAATACCAATGTGCGTAAATGCAACAGAACTCGAGATTCACCTCCTAATAAAATTGCTGACTGTTTATTATGAGTAAAAAGAACAATTTGGCAATACCAAGTGAATTAATAATTCAGGATACAAGACTGAAAAATATTAATAATTAAAAATTAGTTAATTATTAAAAATGTATACTTTTTTCAGAAAGGACATTATATTGATGAAAAACAACAGTAAAGTCATTTATAATCTTACAGAAGATTTTGATTTCAAATAAAAGCTGTTCTTTTGAACTTTCAATTCATTGATAATAATAAGAAATGTTTCTTGAGCAGCAAATCAGCATATTGAAATGATTTCTGAAGGATCATGTGACACTGAAGACTGGAGTAATGATGCTGAAAATTTTAATAATATTAAAATACAAAATTATTTTACATTGCAATATTTTACTAAATTAAAGTGTTTGTTATAGTTTTATAGCATAAGCAATAATATTTCAGGCATTATAGCAATAATACTTTAAAAATCTTACATTAAGAAATACATAAATTAAATTAAAAATAAAATAAAATTAATGAATCTTCAGGTCCATATATTGAAATGTCATCACAGATAGAAAATTGTAGTGCTGACAAAAATGAATGAATGAATGAATGAATAAATGCATACATACTAGCTACTAGGACCCACTAAAAAGGGGGGGGGGAATTATCTTAAATGTATGTGATGGCTCATGATGCTGGAAATATAAGCACAATTACTTAAAGGTCCTATGGCATGAAAATTTCACTTTATGAGGTTTTTTAACATTAATATGAGTTCCCCTAGCCTGCCTATGGTCCCCCAGTGGCTAGAAATGGCGATAGGTGTAAACCGAGCCCTGGGTATCCTGCTTTGCCTTTGAGAAAATGAAAGCTCAAATGGCCCAATCTGGAATCTTCCCTTTATGTCGTCATACGGGGAAAGGTTACCTCCCCTTTCTCTGCTTTGCCCGCCCAGAGAATTTGGCCCGCCCATGAGAAAATGAGCAACTACCGTGCGAGGCGAGCGCAATATTTTTTTTTCCTCGAGAGACATCATGGCTTGCAAAAGAGCGAAGCATGGCAGTTGCCCCGCCTCTCTCCTCCTCATTAGCATTTAAAGCTACAACCACAGAAATGGCACGTCCTAAGGAAAGCTCATTGTGGGACTGGCTCGTAGTGGCTGAAATTCTGCACCAAGGCTGAATTTCGGGAAAGAGACTTCAGATACAGTACTAGGGACCACTTAGGCCTATATAAAAGCATCCAAAAAGCAGCATGTCATGGGACCTTTAAAATGATTAAAACACACACATATAAACACACACAATACAATTTTCCATACTCTTTGTGGCCTTGTTTAACTTGTAGCAGGTGAAATATAGAAAGAGGACTTTTAAGATAGACTGACTTTCACGCTGACGGATTTTGAATATATATCAGTATTAAGATACAGACACAGCTGTGAAACCTTAAAAGAGAAATATTATTAAAATGAACCTCATCATTCTGTCGGGACATAGTGGCAATGTTTATTTATACAAAGACTTCAGTTATATATATATATACTGTGAGTGTCTATATATAAATATATACAACATTTTTATTTATTTTTTTTTCTTGAGAAAATCTTGTTTACTTACAACTGGGTAACCACTTGACTCTTGGAAATGGCAGATTTGAACAGCTCCTGTCATTTAAACATACAATATGCATCATATGGTTTGTGAACAGCCTTTAGGCGTGCCGTCTGATACTGAGACGACGGAGTCTTTCATAATGACAAAGATCACTTTCACTTACCCAGGTAGGTGGCGTGAGGTTGGAGCGCTGCCATACAGTGTGAAGACACTCAGACGGTGAACGAGGACAAGATGAGGACTGTCATGTCCTCCTCCTCGCTGCCTCATGGGACTGGGTCCTCATCATGTCATGAAACAGATGCGTCTCTTTGATGTGAACATGCCAGGCTGTAGCATTTGATGTATGATACCCCTCTATCCATGTGATCTCTTCATTTCAAAACCCTCACATCTGAGGTAATGCCCTATATCTCAGATTTTAATATCTGTAGATATGCCAAACCGGATGAAAGCAGATTAAAAGGAAAAGGATGCAGTCAATGAAAATCATGAATGTTTGTGACTGACGTCTCAAGTATCAGACATCGCAGGAAAAAACATGTGGAACCAAGCAAATATTTACATAAGCTATGAAAATCACATGGGAGTGTCAGCAAACATTCTCATTTCATTACAAATGTAAAGCACCTTTGAAAAATACAGGTAATATTGGAGGAGGAATTTAAAGACAAGATTTTTAACGAACAGCTAATCGGTATAGAACTTGTAATATGTGTCTAGTAAAGTGGGAAGTTGTTTTAGTATTATTTATACACCATTATAGTTTTTTTTTTCTTCTCAACATTACTATTCAGGTAAAATTTATGTTATTTCAGATTTAGTTTTAGTTCAAGTTTGTTACTTAAAGAGACTGTTCACCCAAAAATGAAGAGACATCATTTACTCACCCTCAAGTTGTTCCAAATCTCTGAAATTCTTTCTTCTCTTGAACACAAACAAAGATATTTTGAAGAATGTTGGTAATCAAACAGTTGCCAGTAGCCATTGACTTCCATTGTATTTTCTTTCATTCTATGGAAGTCCATAGCTGATCGGTACCAACATTTTTCAAAATATCTTCTTTTGCTTTAAACTTGTGTTTAAAATATACCTTTGAATTTTTTTAGTTAGTTGCCAAGGTAACTCCAATTTTTACATTTTGTTTAGTTTAAGCTTTTTATTTTATTTCAGATTCATTTCAATTACCAAGAAATGTTTTTAATAGTTTTAGTTTTACTTGCAGTTAAAGATAACAGCCCAGCTTCATTGTCCTTTTATAGGAGGCAGATTTTGTCATGGACGGCTTTGAATGGAAGTAAAAGCAGATGCAGGGGAAATGGAGGGGAAATGTGGCCGGGCTTCATGTAACAGTTTAATCTACCGGTACAGCCGATGATGTCACATGATGGAGTGGTGACACTAATTAGTCATGGAGGATGTGCAGCAATGCGTGCAAGTTATCGGGCACTTTCCACACATGGGTGCAAAATGGGACTTGAAAGTTTCAGGAAAAATGTTGGTTCTTTTTCAACAAAGATTCCGAGAAACAAGGTGCGCAGGTATCCAATTTGTTAAATCATGCATTAACTGGGAATTGAACCCATAACCGTGGCATTGCTAGAATATTGTATAAAATAAAACTAAAAAGTCAAATTTTTTCTTACAACGATGTTGACTGTTAAATGGTTAAGCTTGACATCTACAGTCAAGACTACAATGAAAATCGAATCGGATTTCCAACTTGTCTTCCCGCCACAATGATGTCACTTCACGGGTGTCACAATTTTATAAAATATTCAATTTTTTTAAGTGGGGAAAATGTGGTTGTGTGCAAAATATGAATTTGGTAATAATTAGTCATTTTAATAATTATTTTTGTTCTCTAATGAACTTCGTATCAATTCATATTGAACATTTTTGACTGTTGTATGATTTATATGGTCAGATGCAGTCAAGAAGGTCAAAACCTATGAGCTGGAACGCTTTGAGATATTAAAAAGACATTAACTGTCTGCTGAACGATCCAAGAGTCTGGAGTTTGTATGCTTAGAAATAAACTCTAACGTATATTTATTTGTCAGGAAAACACATGCTGTTCTGACAAAGACATCTATCGTCAACAACAAATATTTGGACCGCAATAATTCGTTCCCCATCCCCTTTCAAAATAACTTCACTAACCCATCTTTACATGTTAAGGATATTGTAATGATTTCCACATGATTTGATGCATTTACCTTTACGGTGGTTTGCATTTTCAGCACTGGAGAGAAGGTCAAACGGGCCGAGGCTCGAACCAGGTGGTACAAAAAGCCGCTTCCCTGTCTGTCAGTATTAATAAAGCCTGTGTTAAAAGACACTGCTGAAGGAAAAAAAACAGTTGGCAGAAACATTTACAAGCATCATTTATCATACACATACACGGTTACGTGATTGACTGAATGCTACAAGTTGAGCACCCTTTGTATTGAAATTGTTCTGGCACATTTAATAAAGATATAAGGCTAGTCTTGTGTCTCAATCAAAATAATTCAAGTGATCCCATAGGAATATAGGTAAACAGATGAAGAGGGGAAAACGTAACTTTATACCCAGGCAAACGTTCACGTCATCTTCATATTGAAGTGCTATTCACTCATGTTGAAGGCCCCACTCGATGCGGATCACAGATCGAACAAGATCTGGCAAGGGCATATGGAGAAAAACATGACGGCTGGCACATTTGGACGTTTAATCTCCGAGCTGGAATCAAAGGAGAGGGCAGGGAATTCCTGAAAGGGTCTGGATTAACCCTAGGTGTCCCACTTTCACAGGGGTGCGACTGCATCTGGAGGCCAGCTGGCTCTCTGCATGTATTTTCTGATATATTTTATTGACCTTGTACAGCAGCTGCACACGGCACTGTTTAACTACGGGAACTGGGGAAAATGTACGTTATGATCAGTGAGTTTCATGTCTTTTCATATTTTTCGACGAGCGCAGACTTTTAATATCAATGAAGCTGATATTTGTGATTTTTTTTGGTGGAATGGTTTATTAAAGACACTGAGGTAAGAAGGACAATGCTGTTAAAAATAAACAGGACAACTATGAATTGTAAACTGAAGAACGTCTACATGATAATCTTTCTATTCTAATATAACAAAAAGTCATAAAAATAAATACTACAAAAAATGCACCTAAAGATAAAGCTAAATAATTTTGTTCAACAAAACACTATATTCAAACAAAGGAATATCAAAACACTATGGCTAGAAATGTTACAGACTAGACAGATGCTATTAAAGTAATGCCAGTAACTTCAAAAACAAACCTCACAGATTTAAATTGTTTTGCTGCTTTGCAAGCAAATTCCTTAAACAATTGTCCAGATTTTAGAATAAAATGTTGCCAAAACGAACACAAAGGAGGATATACTGTTGTCACCACACCCATTTGAATAATCGTTGAATAAAACACTAGGGGTTTTTCTAATGATATCAACCGTCACATATAACCTGGTACAATAACCGTATACAGTCCCATCCAGGCACACATTTTGGCTCCAAGAATTGTTCATTGCTCAGTACATTAAGCTCTATCAACAGCATTTGTGGCAGGTTGAACTGATTTTATGGTAAGGCAAAAAAAGTTTACATTAGTGTACTTGCAATGTACTTTTGCATATTTATATTCATAAATACTAGTGCTGTCAGACAAAACAAAACGTTTTTGTTTACATAATATATGTGTGTGTACTATGTATATTTATTATGTATATAAAAATACACACACATGCATGTACAGTATATATTTCAGAAAAATATTTTATTTTTATATATTAAATATATTTATTTAATATATTTATTAAATTATATGAATGTAAATATAGACGTAAATATTTTCAAAATATATACTGTATGTGTTTGTATTTATATATACATAATAAATTATACACAGAACACACACATATATTATGCAAACAAAAACTTTTATGGATTAATCGTTTGACAGCACTAATAAATACATTATTTAGTTTTGCAATGGGTCTACTGTTCTAGGTCTTTTGTTTTGATATTTCTCTATGCAAAAAGTCCTTTATTCTTGCATATATTGTGCAAAACGTATCAGCTTTACTATTGTTACTGACTTTTTGCTGTTTAAAAAAAATAAGAAAAAGTCAAAATGTATTTTTTTGTTGTACTTCTGTTGACAATATGTCATAAATGCTGTCAATAGAGCTCAGCATGCATTAAAGCCAGAACAATGCTGTAAATGTAACAGTTTCAATAAAAGCTCTTTAAGGCAAGTAGGGCCATTTTCAATTTACACGTCATCTTTCATCCAATTGTAACAGCGAGTGTACAAGAATAGAGATGGCATAATTTGCTAATAAAACAGTTTAGTTTTCTATCTTTACAGTATTGAATACTTAAATGCACCTTTCACAAGTTAACTCGCTTTTTTTTTTTTAAATCGAACATATAAAACGCTGCCATAAGACTCTGCACTATGAAACCGACAGTGTTTTAATGAGGAACAACATCCAAAATAGTGCAAGAAGTCCTTTGGGTGGTCCCAGTGTTCAATCATTCTGTGTGTGTTTTGTTTTTTACAAACCAAGATCACCTCCTTCTCCTCCTCCTTTCCCTTCTTCCACTGTAACAGAATTGCTTCCGCCTCTCTCTACGCAGCTGGAAACCGGCTTAGGCCTTCTCCAAAGACTGGTAGTATTCCTTGAGAACATTCCAGGCTTTGGGTGCCATGAAGCCTTCCGGAGGGTTCCGGCCCTCGCGAGCCATCCTCCGCATGCGGGTTCCTGAGATGAAGTCATAGTCCTGGTGTCTGGGTAAAACGAGACGGCAGAGGGAATGTTAAGATGTGCACGGTAAAGGGACAGTGTGGTACCCAATGTGATAAGAAAATGAAAAAGAAACATTATCTCGGGGTTTGCGTCAGAGATAATAACTAGGTGTTGTACACTGCTCCTTTGTTCGGGACGTTTCGCTCTGGAGGGAACGATGCATTATTCTCTGAAAAGAGCTCTACACTCTTAAAAATAAAGGTGCTTCAAAAGGTTCTTCAAGCGATGCCATAGAAGAACCATTTTTGGTTCCACAAAGAATCATTCAGTCAAAGGTTCTTTAAAGAACCATCTCTTTCTTACCTTTTTGTAATCTGAAGAACCTTATTTTGCCACAAAGAACCTTTTGTGAAACAGAAAGGTTCTTCAGATGTTAAAGGTTCTTTATGGAACCATTTAGACAAAAAGGTTCTTCTATGGCATCGTGAAGCACCTTTATTTTTAAGAGTGTATGATAAAATATGTTCTCTCAAGTGGCCTTTCAAGCCACATAATTCCTTTCAACGGTGCAAAGACGAGGAGGTTAACAGGCTGACTTTACTTCTAGACAAAAAATAAATGAGCAAGAAACAGAAATCTAAACTTCAGACCCACGTCATTAAATCCAAACTCTCGGCTACACATTTTCATTTAAACAAATGCTTTGAAAATAAACAGAGTGCAAAACGTCTGATAAATAGAGCTAATTAGTCTCCAACTGCATGAATAAAACTCGAACACTAGTCTAAATACAATCCTCAACGGCTCCTACGGATAGGGTTTATTTGTTACGGATTAGTTGTTCTTCAATTAAAACGCAGACCTTACGAAAACAAATTCACACAGCGCAATGAATTTATAAACGTACACTGTTGCACTGTGCTTTCCCTATCACATTCATTAAACTGTCGTTCACAGCGGCTTTTCAGTCTAGACAAGCAGGTTCATATGTGCTTATAATGTGGAATGTTGAGTAATGCATTTGAACAAACCCAAGTATTTTGAGTGAGTCAAGTAATTTGTATGGTACTGATAGTGTTTAGTAGGAATAATTGAATTTTATATACGCTTACGGTACGGGATAAAAAATACACTGCTACCATTTAAAAGTTTGGGGTCAGTACGTTAAACTAAATTCATTTATTAAGCCTTGCCAGTTTAAACATTTAAGAGCCAGAGGACGCGAGCGCAGTGAGAAGATTTGTGCGTGCGCTCATCTGAAGCGCGCAAATATTAAGCTCTCTCTGAAGTATTGTGTTTAAATGGACAAATTCACACAAAAAATTATGTCAAAATGCCCATCTTGGTAAGTATCCTATAGCAGACATAGCCGGCTGAACGTACTTACAGTGTCTTAAAGTGACAGCACTTTCTTAATATTAATCAAACAGCAACAACAAAGAAATCACTCACTGCTCTTGATTGAATAGCTTTTGTAACTTAAATAAAGATTAAGCTTTAATTTATACAGTCAAATATGCAATGCTGTTTTACATTTCATTACTTTATTCAATTTCTGTACCTAAAAACTAATGTTAGACCTACCTAAAAAAAAAAAAATGAAAAACACCGTTTATTTTATTTATATCTTTACTCTATTGTATTTATTTGTGCTGTTGCTTGTAGTTAGATAGATTATTCTTATTTTCTTTATTTTTATTTGACAGTACAGTTTTTCCCCTAAACATAGCACATGCCAAACCATACCGAAACCGTGACTCTAAAACCGTGATACAAACCGAACCGTGAGTAAGCTGAACAGTTCCACCCCTAATATATATATGGGCTGAGTGATAAGATCGCCCCCCCCCATTGGCTTTTAGGACACTCAAAAGGGATCACATATGACAAATAGCTAAGAAACACCGTGGCAGGTGTCGATTTAAAAGTATGCACATTTCCTACCTTATTTGTAAATGAAATTCATCTCCAATCCTTCTTCTATCGTTTCAGGTTTATCGTCAATTTAAAAGTATGCACATTTCCTTACTTATTTGTAAATGAAATTATTCTCCTATCCTTCTTCTATCGTTTCAGGTTTATCCATTGTTATTCTAATGCAAGAAAAATATAGCTGGTTTTCCAAGTAAAAACCGCCAAATAACGTTTACACGTAGTTAAGTTATGAAGGACTTCAACTGTAAGCGACACAAGCATATGCAAAACAATATGATGTTTGTTATTATAAAAATTTTATATAGCCCACATTTTTATAAAAAAATTTTTATTTATTTACAGCTTAGGAAATAACGTTGACAATAACGTATATCTTCAACATACGTTGTCTATGACCAAAAATGTTAGTTTTTAAGTGGACTTTTTTTTATTTGCTTTGCTTGAGAAAATAAAAATATACAGTTAGTGGTTTTTTTTTTCCTTTTGATTTAGTCGAGTTGGTTTTGCATCAAACACAATGTAATTTTCGGCAATCGAGATCTGGCAGCAACAGCGCATTTTTCCGCTTGGGTGAGCGCTTTGCGAACAGCTTACCTCATGCATTAAATCTGCCGCAGACCAGCAAATCACTGAGAACGCGCTACAATCCTGACGAGTCATAGCAACAGAGCGGAGGCGAGAAAGCTGCGGAAGCAACCATAACTGACGTAGATTTACAGAAAATGACTGCCATTTGGCAAAAAAATCATTTTACGTACTTATTCCTAACTCTTTAAGCTTTAAGTTACATTTCAAATGACAAGGGATCAACTTAAAATCATGTTTATATGAATTATCCCGTGAACATATTCTCTCAAATGGCCTAGGTATGCGGAGCATTCGCAGTTTATATGGATGGAACGCCACTGATATACTGTGTATATACAGTGTTTGGCTTAGTGTTATGTTAGAATCATTATTATACTCTTATACCTTTTGTTCTTTAATATTTTTAATTGTTTTTAGCTTTATTTTTTGTTTATCATTTAAATGTTAAGTTTTGAAATTTTGTTGTATGCATTTTTATTTAATCTCTTTCTTTTTAAAATGTGTATAGGTAGTATTTATAAAGTTTTAGCTTTAGTTTTGGATCTGTTTTTAGTTGTTTTAATACTACAATTGATTGCTTCTGTTGTCCTCATTTGTAAGTCGCTTTGGATAAAAGCGTCTAATAAATGACTAAATAAATAAATAAAAATACATATATATGCATTCAGAACACCTTAGCAATCATCCAGTAGTAGCAGGCAAATATGATGCATCCTACTATTGGATGGACCCCCAAATGATAGTTTATGGAATATTATCACCATTCCACCTGGTAGTCACTTCAATGGGGTGAAGGGGTGGAACACATAAACTCCAACTCCATAGAGAACAGTTAATATGCATTTAAATGAGAAACAGCTTGGACTGATTTGAGGCATTTTAGAAGACTTTAAGGGGGATGGCTGGCAATTAGGCTCAGCATCCATATTCCTCTCGAATTTGGCCAGGCCCATCACCCTGCTCAAGGAGCAGACGGAACGCCATAAATTTACTAAGGCGCCAAGCGGGGCCCTTTGAAAGTCAGACGGAGTGTGAGTCTGCCACCTCAACCAACTTTTCGGGGGTCTTGCTGGGACGGAGGAGGGAAGCGACAGCCCCGCTGTCACATGCCGCTCGACTTCACATATCAAGGTAAGCAATGATCTCAATAAATAACTGCACCATTTAAAACATAGGTAGAGGAATAATAATTCCAAAAATTGTCTCCTATGTCTTTTTTCTTGCATGGAAGACAAAAGGAGATGTTTTACAGAATGTCCAAGCTGCTTTTTATTTACTACTTCGAATGTTTATATTCTTTTATACTTAAACACTGAGTGACCATAATGCACATAAATGATTTGTATAGATTATTTTCATAGTGTTTTTTTTTTCTGGTCCTCTTTGAATCTTGACAGATGAAAGATCTATTTGAAGATTTTTTTGTTGTTTTGTCTTTGTTTTTGTTGTTGTTCTTCTTCCATGGAACAAAAAAACAGTCATATTTTGTTTTGGAATGACCTGATGGTGAGTAATGGATACAATTTTCATTTTTTTGTTAAGTTATTCCTTTAAACTCTGTGTGGGATGTTCATTTGCATAAAGATCATGCAACATTAAAAGTCCACTGTCTTTCTTCAAGTCAATTTTGCTGCATGTTGACATGCTACATGGTCTTCATCACGGACGACTGAAAAGCCTGTTAACTCGATAGCAGTGGGTGCTATTAATTGCAAGACGAGACACAGCGAAAACGCATGATTTTCGTTAGTCATCTTCTGCAGCATTTGCACAGTGCCAGAGGAATAATGGCAGATCTCCACTTCTAAATGACTTCAAAGAATGGAGCAAAGCTGTAGAATTTGGTGAAGGCACACAACAACAAAACATTTCCTGTTATTCTTGGCAACGCAGCTAGGAATCGAGGAAGCCTGACATGGAGGGAAGTTTGTACAGTGATAGATTGCTTGAACATGTACAGAAGATAAATGTTTATGAAGTAAATTCATGCCTTCAGCGGTTGGTTTCAATTTACCACAACTTCCAATATGCCCAAGTCTCAAATTTGATGAAATTAGTTGCTTAAAGATACTTGTCTTACTCAATTTGTATAGTTAGTTTGTTTTAATAGACAGGAAGGCAAATCTAAAGAGGAAAAAAAGACAAACTTACTTTTTGGGGTCATAAAAATCCATGGCCTTCTTGGCTTTATTGTAGGCTGCCACTTTGAAAGGCACAATTTCCAAGGATATGAGTCCAGGGGCCATGGTGAGAACTTTAGCCCCGTGGGAAGGCTCGTAGAGGTCTTTACCTGTGTCTGGGTGAGGCATTCCTGCGGGGTCACGTCCCACTATGTAAAAGTTGGCCCCAGCCACCATCCGGACCCTACAGTGCCACTGCACCTGTTGGAAGAAGTTCAAATGTATTTTATTTTTACTTTAAAACAAATCTAACTAAGAGTTAGTCCAAGCAGTTGACTTATGAATGAGAATTGGAGTTGTTGTTGAGCTTTATGTGAGAAAAAGGCAAAATTTAAACCATTATTTGCTTAAAATCTTTCCCTCTGTTATAGGTCTCAAATGTCATTCACATTTGTGTATATTTGAATATGGCATAACAAAATGTTCTCGCAACCAAATGCATGCGAATAAGATTTGAGAGCAACCAAAACAGGAAGAATTTAAGTGTCTAACTTCAATTTTGGTTTTTGAGACAAAACGGCTGTGATTTTAGAAGACGTACAAGTCAAACAGAGAGACATAGAAAAAAACATCTGGGACAATCTGTGCTGAACTTTTTTCTTTTCTTTTATGTTATTCACAAATGAAAGAATGGTTGGAACAACATGAGTATGAATAGATAGAGGGTGACAGATTTCATTTTCTGATTAACAATCCTATGCTTAAAATTTGAAGAACGATGATAATGTAAACCAAATGCAAATGTGAAATTTTGTTTAATGGCACAAAGATAGCGACAATAAAAAAAAAAAAAGTCAAAATGTATAATTTCAAGATAAATGAAAACATCTCTTATTATGGACGTAAGATTAGAATTGGCCTACATCACCTAAGCTAATCCTTTTCTGTGGAGTCAGCGTGTCCCCTACTTCCTCCTCATAAGTCAATGAGGTGAACGAGTGCTTCCTGTGGGCTGCTTTAGTCTCAAGACTCTGTCTGCTCCCAATACATTTTTTAATGTCCCCGGCCACATGATTAAAGAACAAGAGACTTCAAAATAGCCATGGAACACTACACCAGCAACAAGTTTTGTCAGAAGAAAGCTCCCCATTTGTGCTTGCTGTCTGTGTGTGTGTGTGTGTGTGTGTGTGTGTGTGTGTGTGTGTGTGTGTGTATGGATTGTACGCGACA